ATCCATATTTTCATGTTATAAACTGATCAGGGCATTTGTATCGTCGTTTACTTAAACATCTCCCTCGGAAGATGCTTAATTTATTTTCAGCAATACTCCCTTTCAGACACTGTTGTGAAATTAAGGATGTTTTGCTCGGATTTGCAATTTTTGCCGTACAATTCGGTACAATGAGTTAGTTTTAACGAAAGTTTGCGACCAGCAAACGTATACTACTCAATTTGCATATCATAGTGATTGCAGCAGCAATACACACAACTTTATGACATCGCATCGCTCTCGTAACTAACTACCTGTCGTTCCTGCTGTCGGAAATTATGCATATGAAATTACATTGATTGCAGTTGAATGAATGAATGAATAACTCGCTGACAACAACAACTAAAACACAGTTTATGCGACAAATGCAAATGTTCTGTTTATGATACGCATTTATAACGTTCATAAAACCTATCGAATTGATAGATCACCACTTCATCGTCGAACCTTTCATTTGCTACTGTAGATATACCTATTCAGCAGTAGCAGTCCACTTGAATGCCATTAGAATATTCGGAAATACTTCATGTAGTCTGATTGTGAGCAATTCTCAGAAACGAAACTGATCAGTATCAGTTACGAATTGTGATTGTGTGTACTTGAACTATGATACTGTATGTGGAACAATTGTTGTTATAATCCAGTGGTGTCAGTTTTCAATGTTTTTAGTTGATTGAGTTTGCTTATGAGTTGGATTCGCGCTGTCCATCGCTGTGGAGTAGAGATTCATGGGTGGAGAGAAAACCACTGTATTCGTCATTCGAATTAACCAAGATCCGCAAATCCGACTAATCTGGTTATTCGTTTCGTAACATTTATGCTTCAAATCACTAATTGCTTCCGATCGGGAGTGGATGCAAAACGAGGAAGCACGTTCATCTCTCTAATAACATCAATTAATGAAATTGCTTCTCAGACGATTATCCTTAGTCTGCTGAATTGCTCCTTAACAACGTTCTGCGGAAACCTTCCCGTAGCATTCGTGTTCCAATAATGTAAAAATTATCTGGAGCAGTTTCCAACAAGCGCAAAACTTGTAGCTGTTCTCTTATCATCCTACTCGCCGCCTTTGTTCTGAGATGAACATTTGATTCATCCGACGCCGCGATTTGAAACCAGTAATTTCGATCTACATTGATAGAGTGATGTAACCATAATTTTCCTCAATGACTGTGCGAAGAGTTCTAATTTGCCTGCTCACTTCTGCGTAATCATTAATGTTTTATGAAAATGTGTTATCAGGATCCTGTGAAAAAATTGTGAGTGTAGTATCGATGTTCGATTTGTATAGAACATAATCATTAATCATTATTTTGAGTAATCACGAAACGAGGATTTAACAAGAGACGAGTAATTCCACATGAACACACCACTATGTAATTAGCTGGTGTTTGATTGCACTAAAGAGGAACACTCAGCATTTAGGAGTCACTTAATCACATTTATCTCATTATAATACTGCTACTCGATCAGAAATTATTGCAGCTGACGCATTTTTCATCATTGTGTGGCTGTGGCTGCCTTCTTAAGTCATTTTAATCACTCGCAATGGTCACTCTTTCCCACCTTATCCTATTGTTGGATGTATTCATTTCGCACAAATCTCATCCAAATTCCTATTATATCCTCTCATCATTTTTGCAAATTTATATCCCTCCTATCCCTTTCACATGTGTATCATTTCGAGTCTTCATCCGTTTACTCACGGCCTTTTTCAATGGAAGCAATTGTTTGTCGTTGAATCGTTTATTCATCCAGAAACGATACCATTTTTATTCCATTTATCCAGTTTCATCTTTTTTTT